TACATAGTCTGTTGTTGAGTTCATAGGGAAATGTAACAAACAGTATTTTCAAGTGGTTTTGTATTCCAGTGAGACAATTTCACAAGCTTGTTCATAGCACTTATGGAACCCTTTATATTTTCAGAGCTCCTGGAAAAAACAAGCTTGCTAAAAAAAAAATATAAAATACAAGCGCTATTTTTAGAGCTGCAGCGTGTAAAATAATAGCCCATTGACAGGAACTTCATCATTTTCAATAGGATGCCACCACCGCGCTTGGGGGTTCCCGGGCTCCTCCCGTTCCCGACAGGGTCGCTGGGATGGAGCCTGGGTGGGCGCATTGTTCAGGCCGGCCGGCCTCCCCCGCGGAGGCAGCCTCGCCCCAGCCTCCCTTCTCCCACCCTGGGCCTGCGATAAAACTTTCAGCAGGAGCACCTCTCCCATTCTGCTAGTTTTTGATCCTCTGCTTTGATTTCTCAGCAAAATCTCCCAGCTAGTATCAATGCCACCCTGAACTGCTTTGCTGGTAGTTTGTGTCATGCAGCAAAGCTCTCTCCAAGCACTGAGCACCTCCTCTGATGCAGGGACTGTGCTTGGGAACGGTACAGACACGCTGCTTCCAGCCAGACGTCGGAGCTCCATCTGAGCCGTCTGTCCGTTCTGGCTGTAACCCCCTTGTTTCTCCCCAAAATGTAATATGAATCCAAGAGCGACTTTGTTGAACTATAATCTGGGTCAACAGTGTCTGGTAGGTTGAAAGGTCACCCTGAAACCGCATCTGTTTTAGTTCTCCATTGGAACTGGGAAAGTACTTTAAACTTGAGATGTTCTGTAGCATTCCTAAATTATCAGTAATGTGTAGTGACACCAAGAACTCTGGTCTAGAAATGCTGTGTTTCTTTTTTTTTTTTTTTGATCTAAATGGGTGAAGCGTCAGATTTAGGAAGCAAATTCAAATCAGCTGGACATAGGTCAGTGGCTGTATGCAGAAAAGGACACTACGGTAGGTGCCTCTGGCCCATAAAAAGCCTGTCCTACTGAGATCTGGCTCCAGGGCTTATTAAATACCAGCCATTTTTGACTAGTAAAAGACCAAACAAAATGTTCTTTTTCTCCTTTGATGACTGAATTCAGCCTGACATGAGGGGTATCATTTATATAAACACTTGCTTTTATGCATGTGCTGTGCTGAGAGATTAGCACATCTGCATGCATATTTTTAAGGCTATTTTGCTTTAAGGTGATAGCAAACCTAACCTATAGACTGAAAGAAGACTCAAGGTGTCAGAGAGGGCAGGGCACATCTGGCTTTCTTTGTCATTTGGGATCTAGCCAGGTCTTTATAAAATTTGTCCTGGAAGTGCTCGGCTCTGGTGGTACCTCYTGCTCTTCTATGATTCTCTTAGCATGGGTCCAAAGCAATCCAGAATCATTTCCAATATTGTCTAAGRGACCCCTTTTTCCACACAGTTAATTTTGGAACATAAAAGAGCAAACTCATGTCAAGAGGGTCAGGAGTACTAGCACATTTATTTCACTTGGTGACAAGTGTACTCCAAGTAGGCCGAAGCAGCTCTGATTTGTTTTATCCGTTTTGCATCTTGATGTTAGAGCACCCAGGGCTGATGAATGCAGGACTGTCTTGCTCTGTGCTATGAAACGTTGGCACAGGAGTGGTTGAGACTGCAGCTGCATGGTTTGGTTTTGCTGTTAACCTGGGTGAATCAACAAGCTTTGACTTCAGCATCAGCTCAGAGTCCCTTAGTGGCTCTATTGCACCATTTAGGACAGTACTGAATTGAAGGCAATGATGAAAGACCCCATGGGAGCAGCCGTCTCTACTCAGAAGAGAACAATCTTGCCTCCCTGACAGTGATCACATCCTTTTAAGATCCATAATATTCTCATATGAAAATTCCAAACCATTCCCCTCAAAATCATCCAGGTTATCTTTGAAGCTGGTCTTTGTAGAGTCAACTAGGCAGGGAAGAAGTGATGTGGAGCAGGGAGTTGGGGCAGTTATTGCTCAGCTGGAAGAGGATGTGGTCTCTGATGCTCCAGTTGCCAGATCTTCAGTAAATGCTGTGAATTTTAAACAAGACTCTTCTCCTTTTGGAGAAGAAGAACTACTAACAGGCTCTAGGACTGTTTGGGGGACATAAAGCAGGGGCGGCTTCTGTTGCAAAGTCCTTGAAATGCCTTCTTTTATTAACCAGCACCGGAGCTGCTCGATGTCCGTGAAGGCTTGCCTTAACGCAAGGCAAATTTCCATGTGAGTATTCCCAGCATCCACTGGGAAAGTGCCGCGATCCTATATGAGCCTAAAGCTGGACTGCAAGACAAAGACCCCACTAGTTCCTATTGGTTATGGCTATCATGGAGACAGAGACGCCCTTCGTGACCTCCTCCTGCCACCTTTAACCTTTGAGCTCTGTCCTCTGCCTCCTTGTCCTCATGCGATACAAAGATGAGAACTGAGCTCCTTGCTCTGGACTGCAGTCTGATAATTGACCCGAGTCACGCTAGCTAAACAGGGACAAGTCTGCAACTGATTATGAGGTTTTTGTCTCAATTAATTGTCAGAAGCAAAGGGACGTTTGATGTTTAATGTCTTTTTCTTCTTTTTCAATGTATTCTAGTTGCCACCCGCTCTCCGGCACTGGGAATAGACAAAATTGGACAGTGAAAAGACTGTGGAGTTGTCTCTGTGTCTTCATACGTAATCCATCCTGGGTGTTTGCCTGCCTTATTTTTTTTAGTGTTAGAGATTGGTCCGTACAGGACTTCAGGTTTAGGTTTTGTTACAAAGTGCCAGTGACGTCTTACCTGGGTGCCCTGAGGAATCCTAAGCTGTGCCTTGTAATGTCCTCAGTCTTTGCAAATCTCCTTGGGAGCTGATGATCTCTTCATGTGGCCTGAGTCATAAAACAGCCCTTTCATGGTCTGGAGTATTTTTCAGAAAATAAAAATAGAACTAAAAGAGACAGCAAAGAGAAGGAGGTTAAAAAGTTTTACAAGTAAGAGGAATCAAGATGCGCCCTGTGTGACTGAATAGCAGAAACTTCATTTAAAATGAAAATTTGGGACTGAAAGGACAATTATGCTGTGAAACATTCTGCTTTTGTATGTAATTGATTTTGCTTCTTGAAAATTATGAAAACATCAACAGTTTCATGGACATTTTACATTTTGTGAAATGCAACTTCCTCCAGTGTTTTGTAAATGCAGAAGTCTGTGAACGTGCCAGGGAGGGGCACGTTCTCGTTTTTCAGACAAGAAACACAGTGTAACGGGGCATCTAATCCCCGAGAGCCGAGGGTGAGCATCTTTATTACCCATAAATCAGGACACCCCCAAAATCGCCCTGGGGCTGAAATCTGATTCCCACCAGGTCAGCAGCAAAGCTCGTGTTCATTCCTCTGGGGCTGCTTTCAGCCTTAGTGTCCTCCATAACTGCTGCTAAATAATGTCAGGACCCCAAATTAAGCACAACCTGAAAGATTTGGATTAATTGTAATTCAGCAAATTACTGGACGAGCTCTGATGAAGACTTTAAGAATTCCTGGCTTCCAGTGCTGCACTCTGACCATAGATAGGATTGAACTGATTACAGCCAATCCTTGGGTGGTTCATTATTTTAGATCTAATATCGTGAACATTCAGGGACATCTGATGTAGATCTAAACAGAATGAGTATCTTTGCTTAAAAAAGCAGAATAGAGACCCTACTATTGTAACTTGGAAATTGCCAGACAAAGCAAGTAAATCATCTCATATGCACTGTGTTTTAAGTTACCAGTCTCACCAATTCCTAAAGATAATTTTTTATTTTTTTCTGTTCTAGAAAAGACATGGATGCCATTTTTAACTCACATTTGAGGTTCTGTGCATTTTTTTTTCAGATTAATCACTTAATTCAGAATAATCCTCTTAATCACTTTATTACAGTGTTTGTAAGAGAAGGAGGTTTGTATGTATACATTAATATATATATATGTGTGTAAATTGAGTAACTACAAAATTTGGCAATATTTTTGAAGACAGTAATGGCTATTAATATAGCACCGAGTGTAATAATTTCTCAACTGTTATTCATTCATTAACCCATTATTGTTGCCTTAACCACATTGCTTTTGAAGACCCTCTTATGTATTTAAAATGTGGACCAAATGAAAAAATCTGCATCACAAACAATATATTCAGGTGCTAGCTGGCAATTCAAAGGGGGGCTGGTAGAAACATTATAACTAACTAACTACTTGATTATTTTCTCTTTTGATTTCTCATGATTGTGAACCTGGAAACTGTATGCCTGCTTTTGTGCTTTTTGACACCAACTTTTTCACCTAAGTTTGCAAATGCACACTGAGAAATGATGTGCTATATGGGATGGGGCGCAGGACAGATGATTATTGGTTGTATAGTGTGGACAGACGACCCATTTCTGCACAATCCAGTTTGTGCTTTTCAGGCATAGAGTGCAGAGGTTCTTTACAGCTATAGGTGAGGGTTTAGCTTGTAGCTATCAAACAACTATTCTGCAGCACTGTCTGCTTCACAATGAAGTTTTCATTCTCTCTCATGCCTAGGGAAAAGTTACAATAATGTGGAATTTGTTTTGCCTTTTTTTTTTTTTTTTTTTAATTAACTAAATGTTTAAACGTGCTGTCAGATTTGATTTCAGTTGTGGTGAAAATTCAGGTCACTTCTTGTTTTATCCAAAAGGCTGCTGCTTATCTCTACCTCATACACACGCAGCCTCTCTCAGATGTGTCAGAGCGAGCGCCCAAACTCACTCGGTGAGTTCTGAGAAAGAGGAACTTTGGGCACTCTGAAAGCCCAGTGCGCATGCAAGGAATCTGCCTCTGTTTTCCTGGGATTCTTCCTGAAAATTTCAAGCAAGGAGGATGCCCGGCAGCAGAGGCAAAAAGCAGAGGAACATTTCTCATGAATAACCTGGCAAGAAGTATGCAGACAAGTTCCTAAAAAATGTCAGCTGAAATTATCTGTTCTTCTTTTAGATGTATTAACCAAACCGCTGTTTTTCTGGACGCCAAGGGATATCAGGACAAGTTCAGCTCACATCCTCCCTTTGCTGTTTCTAACTAAAGATCGGAGACATCATGTAAGTAGACGTGACATGTTGCAAAATACATAATAGAAAGTGCTTTAGCGCCTGGGTGTCTTGTGGGCAATATAATGTATGGCAATATTGCCCGCTGTTTGCACAGCAGCACAAAGGGTCTATCAGGCACCCTGGAGAGTCCACAACATAAATCAGAGGCAACGCAATGAGCAAGAGTAATGTGCCAGAGAAGGAGGAGACTATTGCCAAAATGGAAATTAGGAATGGAAAACTATCCAACAGAGAAATGCTCTCGCTGATAAGAGAGAGCAGAACGTGGCAGTGAAGGGAATTCCTCGGGAAGGCAGCTCGGTCATTCTGGGAATGCCGCAGGTCCTGGCTGACGGGGAAAGCAGAGCTGTGGGTGCAGGCTCCTTATCCCTGCCCTCCTACGGAGCAGAGCCGCCTTCCGAGCGCGTTGCAAAGATCAGTGCCTCTGAGGCAAGCTCATGTTGGACAAGGGCAAAGGCAGGATGCCGCAAAAACCTCTCATCACTGAGATACAGGAAAGAGGGAAAAGCCTATAATTGGGTGTAGGAATCTGTGCTTGATTTTTTTCTTTTTTTTTCTGAAGTTGCAGAAATAGCATTTTTAGTGAAAAGACAGGTTTTTCTTGTATCTAGTCACTAGTGAATCAACACAACTCCCAAGTTGACATTGGGGTCCAAATCAGAGCCCAGACACAGCTCTASGGATGCACAGAGACCCCTGCACTGCCCAGACTCCCGCCACCATTGGTAGCTGGTGACAAGGGGGTGACAAGATCCGCACAGCCTCTCCGGTGCGGGTCCCCATGGGCAGCCAGGACGCGGCTCCGGGTCGCCTGGCTCCGTCCCTGTCCCTCACGCTGTTCCAGCGCTGGCCGGGGATGYGCGCAGCCCCGCTGCACTCACGCACCCGCCGTCATCTTCACTTACGTGGGTGTAAAGGAGGCTGACACGCGGCGTGCTGGGCTCGTCGTGTTCTCCTTCGGGATTTGCAGAGAGGCCTGTAGGCTAGATGCTGTGGAGCTCCCAAAACGAAGCCTCAAATCAAGCACAGCAAATTAAGCTCAGGCATATGCAACACATCATTTCAGGGCTCATGTTTGCAGCCTCCAGCTCCAGTATTGAAAAACCTCGGAGATGAGTGGAATAAATAGCCAGTTCGCAGAGGGGTTGGCAGGATTTATTATGTTTATGGTTCTGCACAAATAGCGTTGACAGGTTTCTCTTGATACAAAGATAGCTTCTGCACTCAAGTCGCAGAGGAGACCTAGACTTGGGAGGATTCATCCCCGGATGAAGTCTATGTTGTTAGCTGCCTATAATTCCTCCCATGACACATTTTAAGAACTGGAATATAAGGGGGCTTCATACAGTTGTTTTGTGCTGTCATTTCAACACCATAATATCAACATTATCTCTGTAGGTCGTTTCATTTTATTGTAATTTTGTTAAAATCGCTATTTCAGTGAAGTTCTAAATGCGCATGATGCGCTCTGGTAATTGAAACATGTGGAAAGCATCCCAGTAAATTTACAGTCTGAGGTTTTGGTACAAGTGTCGTGGAGTCAATGGGAAGTTTTTCCTTGATTTCAGTTAGGAGCTGGATCTTGCCCAAATAGCGCAGAGCAGCCTCCCACGCTACCGAGCGGATTTGGGGAGGCATATGGTTCCTGTCAGGGCAGCAGGTGGATATTGGTGCCTTTGGTGAAGGAGCAGCTTGCCCTACCTTGATAAGGAGGTTATTCCAGGCCACTGGAATAGTGTGAAAACAGGGAGAAGTGGGCAGAGGATGGGGCATGGATGCCTATGCCAAGAGTGCTGCAGAGCCACGGGCAGAGGCCTCGTGCTGGACGCCAAGCACATTCCGCACCGTCCCCTGCCCCAGGCTTGGAATCAGTGTTGGATGAGCTGGGACTGGATGGGGTGGGCTGGGTCGGCGCAGACTGGAAAGCTGAGAGATTCTCGACAAATGAGCAAACGAGGGCATTTTTATGCAGAAAACCCCATGCTCAGCCCATTGTGTCTTGGGGAGATAGTGCGCGCGCTAGGAACAGGGTGATTTATCGCGTGCTGTCACGCTGCAGACCGCGAGCTGCCAAGGATCTCATAGGGAGCATCTCGGTGCTCCACGCGGCGCGCCGCTGTGCACAGCTCATAATGGGAGCCATTGTGCTCTTGCCATTTGCAAAATGAAGGCAATAAAATGTAATTAAAAAAATGAAGAATCCCGTGCGTATGAGAGAATTTTGTAACTGGAACTCCTTGTTTATACTTGCTCTGCAATTAAGCTTCTGTGATGTTAAAATAGGAGTGTTAATATTTTGGAAGTGCTAGCTCAGCAGGGCAGCAGTTTGCTCTTCCAAAGGATGTGCTTGGAAAGGTACTGAGTGAGATAACCGTGAGCCTTGTTGCTATCATTTTATTAACTTTGGAGGATCACGTAACAGCCCTTTCTTCAGTACTGAGGTGCTATCTCTGCCCAGCACGAGGGCTGATTCCTGAGCAAACAGGCCATGTTTCTTGCCAAAAAGGCGCTAACCAGCCATGGTTGTAAAAAGAGGGGTAAAGGAAAAGCAGGAAAGGATCCTGACATAACGTAGACTGAAGTGGCATAGGGGGAATTCTAATGTGAAGATTGTGTTCAGCGAATGGTCATTCAAACCACTTTTTTTGAAAGCAAATCTTCATTTTATTCTGAAACATATAAAAAAATAAATTGCAAAATAAAAGCAGATGATCCAGTGCTCTTTCRACTTGTTTAAAATCCTTGCCTTTCTCTCTGAGGAAGACAACTACAGCACAGGGAGCTTAAAGTGCTGCTGCAGAAAGTATGCAGGACGAGCAGAGTACTGACCTGCAAATCATTTTAAAATCATTTTTAAACTTTTTACACGTTTCTTTGGTGCAGAGCGAAAGGGACCTCAGTTCCACGGGAAGCCAGTCCTGTAATAGTAACTAATAGTACGGAGGACGTGATTCCTCGCGGAGCTGCACCAGGCTGAGCCGGGCTCGTGGCTGCAGCATCGCTGCGTGCCGGGCTGSCCCGTGGACGGCATCGCTCTCATGCAGGACCCTGCGAGCACAGGGGCTGCAGCGCAGCACGAGCTCCCCCTGCGCGCCAGAGCCTGCAAGCTCCGCACCACTGCTGCCTGGGCAGAACTGCACGTCGGTTCCCAGGCTGCGTCTTCCGCCTGTTTGGAGTCCGATAAACACCACGTACACGGTTGCTCCAAGGAGATCTTGAGCAAGGCCAAGCAAAGTGCTGAGGTCTGATGYGTCCCAGGCCCATCGTGACCTGCAAGGCCCTGCACGGCACGAGATAACTCGGGGATATGTTGCAGGAAAGGCAGCGTTTTTGTTGTATCCCTTGGAGATGATGCTCAGCAGGCTGCAGTAAATGCTGTGTTTTTAGAGTGGACTGAGCACAGATGAACACAGTCCAGCAAGTTTCTGCCCTYGTGATATGTATGGGGAGAGAAACGATGCAGGAGTTGACCTAGGCAGCTAAACTGGAGTAGCTGGAAAATGTTCTCATAAGGAAAGCACCAAAACCATTTGGCTAAAGACAGGAGATCTGGCATTGCTTCTACCAGTCTTTCCCTGGCAGTCTAAATACATTTTTGGAGAAATTTTGGCTCTTTGGCCTTGTGCATCAAACCAGGCCTGACGGCAATTTTGTGTGATTCCTCCCCCAGCTCACAAATTCCCCTCGGCTCTGCCCCAAGCTGCTAGCCAGGTCCTACTGCGAGATCCAGGTGAATTCACACGTTCGCTCCCAACACAGAAGGGGTCATCAGGTAGGACACAGGATGGATAATTTACAGGAATCTGCTACCAGGAACAGCTTCATTGCTAAGTGGTGACATGCCAGCTGGGCAGCGAGACAGGTGTTTTTTAATGCAATCTTGACATTGCCCTTTTCAATAGTGCTATTGTCACATCGGCCAAGCGGCAAAGGGGAGGTGTGTTGTGCCACGAAAGGGCTTGGGGTGGCCAATGGCATGCAGTGACCAGCTCAGTCTTAGCAACACAAGGATGACGAACCTCAGTTTGTCCCCATTTTCATGCTCTGCCATTCTTCTTCTCTCACCCCTCCCAACAAAGTCGTCTTCTTGATACCTTTCTTATTTTCTATTCTTTTTCCATCTCCTTGAGTGAAGATATCTTGTTTTTCTACCTGTTCCTGCAGAACAAGAACATGCAGTGCTCCCATGTAAAGCTGTGCTGCTCCTGGGCACTTTCTGAACCAGTTTSCACTTATCTGAGCAATAATATATGTATTTTTAAATGATTCCCTGATGTTGCACCTCATTTCCCAGACCGGCTTCTCTCTGCCGGCAGAGGTCAGCAAGCTCATCTCGAATGCAGCGCGAGGCGGCGCAGGGCGGCGGGAGGAATTAACCTGCTCCAGGGTGAGCTGGGCCAGGAGGAGAAGCTGGTTTTAAAAGTAGTTTGGTCCCTGGGAGTGGTGTTCAAAGTAATTCCGAAGAAAAAGATGGGCAAAGTTGTGTCTTACTGAGGACAAGGCTTTAGGGCAAAGCTCTGCAGCTTTTCTGTTGTTCTCCAGGGTTTTCTCAAGGGAGGAGGAAGGTGTTGGGTCGTTCTTCCAGTGGTTGACAACTCCCGTCGCTCCAGCAAAGGAGCTAATTTACCTGGTGTCCTCCTGCAGGGCTCTCCAGATCCCAGTGATGGTGACACACGGCTGGGGAGAGCAAGGACACGATGGGCTCCACATGTGGCCGTACAGGGACGGGCTTCCTCAGGCCATCAATGAGATGTCCAGCGCACTGCACCAGGCACTGGCCAAGGTAAGAGGGAGGAGTGTTCCTTCCCCCCTCAAAAATACCTCATCAAATTCAAATCATCCTCWTGGAAAGTTTCCACTTCAGCCATATTTTTGATAGGAGGAAGTGCAAATAATTAAAAATTTTCCAACTTTAAGAATTGAGTCAAATTGTTCCATTTCAATAATGCCTCCACGAGGTAAGAACTGCTTGGTTCAATTCATTTTGCCTAGACATTTGGTAGGTAAAAATATCTAAGCCAAATGAATGAAATGATTTTACCCTTGCAAAACAATAGCCTTTTTATTCCCRGCAGTTAAACAGCAGTTGTGAACTGCAGAAATGACAGCTTTTTCCTTTCATCCACAAAGATGCATCTTCCCCAAACAGGGAAATGGATGCTAATATTTAGATCTGGCTCTGGCAATCAAACAAAGCAATTTTGGTTTTGAAAAGTTATGTGGAGCTAAAGACTCGCAGCATGGGGGAGATACTTAGATCACAACAACATGAGATCTAAACATTTACTCCCGCTTGACTTTCCGAAATAAAGACATAAGGAGGAACACCAGACGGAGCTGGGAGAGGCGGCTTAATCCTCGCCCTCTTCCTCAGCCCTTTGGGACATCACTTACAAGTTATGCAGTCAATAATAATAACAGCAGCATTGCCTGATCCTCCTCCAAGAATTTTAAAGTGGGATTAAATATTGTCCCCAGGCTGCAGACGTTGCTACAGAAAAATAGGATTATGTGGTCCTTCAGATTAAAGCCATTGGGTCGTCTGGCCTGCAAGATGAAAGAAGCTCTAATTCCTCGGAGCCAAGTTTTCCAGAGGCCAGGGCTTAGGGGACCAGTTGCAGTGGTGCTGGGGTGCACGCCGGTGATGCTGCTGCTGTGGTCACAGCCTGAACTCTAATCATCTGCTTGCTGCACACAGGCTTTGCAAAGAGGAGGCAGCAAGCATGCCCTCCCTCCGATGGGTAACAAAAATACGTGTGATGACTGCCCAGTGCTCTGCGCGTTGGTGCCTTTATGGAGGCAAGGGAGAGCGCCGTGTGGTGGTGGCTAAATCACAAAGCCGGTGGCAATGGCTTTTCCTGGTGCCTCTATTTCATACGATGTTGGCCAAGTGCTTTAGTGAGCGCGGGCTCTCGGGGGTCTCACTGAGCRCAGTGCCGCTGGCTTCACGGGGGATGTGCCAATTTCCTGAGTCTGGCACTACATGTCCCCACTCCTCATCTCCCGCGCGGGGCCGTTAACCTCCGTCCTTTTGGGATGTTGCAAGATGTGCTGTTGCTGCTGGGATTATTGATTTCAATATTACACAGTTTGCAGAACCTGCCTCAGAGACTTYTTTAATCTCAGGCTTGTGAATTGCTTTGATACACTTAAGCAAACATCGTTAAAAACATTTGTTATTCRCGCTGTCATCACAAGGGAAATTGTCACTGCTTTGTTGGACTACAGTGACTGTATAGCTCCCCATGTTGTGCATTAATATTTTAAGTTGTTCCATCTTAAAGGAATGCTCATAAGGTAGTGAGTATATTTTCCTTTGCACTTTTTATTCTTTTCAGTGCAAACTAATAAAGAACAGTATATCAAAAATAGCAAAGCCAAAAGTAGTTTGGCTACTTAAAAAAAATGCCACAAGAGATTAGCACAGTATACTTGGACACAAACCATACGCAGTCAAGAATGAAATGGGACAACTCCAAACAGTTTTAGCAGGTAAGCACCCACAAAGCAACATGTGTCATATATCAAAGAGGCACCGACTGTAAAACAAGGTCCCGCAGCTTGCAGCAAGCAGAAAGGCTGCCAATAAACGGTTGATCTTCCCTCTTCTTTGGTTTCATGAGCCATCCGGGGTAATGATTGCAGAATTGAGTTTTAAGCATCAAAAGGAGGCTGGAGTCATCCTAGATGGAGTTTCTCTGGTGTCCAGGAGGCTGATCTGTGGAGTGCTTGGAGAGGTGGGAGATTCCCATCTGTTGGGAAGCCTCTGTGCTGTGTATCTGGGTATAGACCTGACTTCTTGTCCTGCGAGGTGGAACAGAAAACACAGGAGCAATTCTGCTTTCTGCATCCTTAATATATCTCACACTCCTAATTCCAAAGTATTTTTATCTTCCTAGTGAAAACTAAACCAACTGCTGAGTAAAACCTCAGGGCAAAACTTGCAAGAGGCTTTATTTTAGATATACACACAGATACTTTAGTAATATCATGTGAGATAATAATGTTATTTCTATACTGATCCAACTTCCATCTGTTTTGATTTGTACTGTGTGTCTTTTACATTTGAGTTGATGGTAGGTGGGCAGCAGTGATGGGAGGCAGATCCATACAGCCTCTTACCAAGGCTCATCAAGGCTTATAGTCCTTCTCCGAAGGGTTTTCCATACTGAAATGCAAGTCGCAGTGAGTGCTGGGGTGCAGGAGGTCCCTCTTTATGGATAACGCAGCCGTCTCCAGCACGTTCCTGCTGCCGCCGTGTGCAGTAGTTGCGAGGTCTGAACAGCTGGGCTCCGTACATGGATTTGTTTGGAATTATCCCCAGTGAAGGAAAGTATGATTCAGCTGGTGACTGATTTGAGAGCTCAGTGAGAAATCTGAAGCTTGACTTGGAGCAGGGGTGGTTAAAGAATTATTTCTTCAGGCTACAATTCTCCCTGGGCCTCCTGTCTCCCGCTATGTGCAAGCAATCCAGCGATACCTGACGGCAGCGTTTCTCAGGTCAGCAAAGGCGCAGCTGGAAAACAGCAAGTGTTTTCCAAGATGCCCTGATAYTCCGTCACTCAGCTGACACCGATGGTAACACCCATACTTGAGGGTACATCAATCTAAAAAAGCATTGGATCGGAGCCCGTATAAATAAAGGTTGAAGCAGCTGCGAGCACGACAAGCCGCCGAGCTCAGGTCGCAGCCGCTCGCGGGCACGTGCTGCCCGGAGCATCTGGGAGCCTCCAGGCTGCTCAGCTTACCCGAGCACATCCAGCCTAGCACCTCGCCAGGTACAGCCGCCAGTCTTTAAATGCAATTAGGGCTTGGGTTACAGGCCGTTTCTGCTCTGTAATTATTAGCATTACTTGAGCATTATCAGACCTGGGTTTCACCACTGATTTGATGGATAATCCTTACATGCGTGAAATGAAAGCCTTGGGAGCCGCCCTCGGTCCTCCGCGTGTCCCTCTTCCCCGTTGCTGCTCCTGCTGTTCCCGCAGTGCTGTTGGGCCCTGAGCCCTGAATTTCCGCACCCCTCACCTGCTGCTGAAGCAGGGGTAAACGAAAGACCTTTTCTTTGTGCTTCTGCTTGTGGTATCTGTTGTTTGCAGAGATAGCTGCTTTGGGAAGGGAGCAAGGAAAGGAGGAGACGTTTGGTTCAGCCCCTAATCAGGGCTCCAGATTGCTAGCAACAAATTAGCCCCAAATATTTGTGTTTCCTGCCAAGCCCTTTCAGTGATTTCTTTTTTTCCTTTTTTTTTCTCTTCCGTGTTTCACACAAAGCTCTGTCTTTAGGATTAGCTGTCAACAGGCAGCTCTTTGTTTTCAGCTGAATTTAAGATTATTGCTGAGATATAAAAAGGGAAGAAAGGTGACACTGGAGAGTTTCTGCAGCAGTAAATCCTGAAATATTCAGGCCCAGGACACTTTCATAGCTGGCGCATGCTGAGTGAGGCATATCTTGTTGACACGAGGGCCCAAACCCGGTTAGATTTCACAGAAGAACCTGTTGCGTGTCTCAGGTTTAGGAGTCATCATATACTTTTAAAGAGATCTTTCCGGTCAGATAATGAAAGGCTATTTTCCCTTGCCGCTGTTTGCCAGTGAGGGAATAAAAATGCTCCCCTTGTTAAATTTCCCAGGCTGGAGCCCAGCCAAGCAGCGGAGGAAGCAGCCGGGAGCATCCCTGTGATAAGGGCTGCGGTGACAGGACAAGCATCGCGCTGTGGTGGCATCAGCGCCAGCTTATCACACATTTCTCAAGTGAGCTTTTCAGTTCCTTGCACACGGTTCTGCCACTGCACAGTAATCACCATTTAGGCAGGACTGTGAGGGAATAAGCATAAGGAGGTCTCGCCTGTTGTCCACTCTCCAGGCCATGGCTTGAGGTCTTCCTGTTTAACCTGAGGGAGTTGAAGGCTCGTCCTCCCTAACCCTTCTGGGGCATCTATGGCTGGTACGTGTCAGAGAAAGCGGACAAATACATGTTTAATTTAGATTAACAGCTTTTTAAAAAAATGTTTCCCCTTCTCTCTAATGCTGTGACTATACCCTTAGTATGTCTGGAAGTGATGGAAATGGGAAACTACACAGCTATGGCTGTGTGAAAGCTTGTGGTTTTCCTTGGGATGTACTGGCTGAAGCTGGTACAAGGACCACTCTGAGGAGGAAGTCTGTTGCCCAGAGAACCAGAGCAAAAGGTGCTTCTTCCTGCATATTTTTTAATCTTTACCTTTAGGGCCTCAATCTTGTGGCCTTTCTGTAGGGGCTCCTGCCAAGGGAACTGCTGGATATTCTCTAGGAGGAAGAACCACCAATAGATTTTATATTGGTCTTCAAGTAGTCTTGAGCTGGTAATGATTAKGGGAAAGTGATTCAACAGAGGTTTAAGGACATGTGGATGTACATGGATATTCATGTGCTTTAGTTAACTCTGAAAATGCTGATGACTTCAGAGAGGCCATATTCAAGTTCCAGCTGAAGGATAGTAAATGAGCCTCCAGTTATAGAGACATATGTAAGCCATAGACTTTGAGACAAACCTAACACACCTACTATGGATTTCCCCACTGGAATTGTTGTGATAGGAATTATCCATCCTATTATGCAAGTATGATTCATACAGCCAAAGAACTTTAGCTCCAAAATTAATATCTTTAATGTTCAGAGGTAGGAAGGCAGCTTGAGATGTGGTTTCTCTCCATATC